CTGTCTTGGCCCAGGAAGCATTAAGGGCATTCTAGTTTTTCCTGGATAAAAAGAGATAAAATCAAAGGAAGAGGAAGCACTTTTTTTCACGGAACACCATTTTTATTTGAAAGAATGACAGACTTGGATATTGGCAGACATTTTCTCAAAAAAATGAACAAATGAATAAAATGAGCCTGTCACTTCAAGGTAAAACTGATAGTATTTAAGGCTAATAATAAAATTTAAGCTTTCAAATAAAACTTAGAATTGTAGGCTCGGTGGCTCAGCCTGTAATCCCATGCTTTGGGAGGCTGAGATGAGTGGATTGCCTGAGCCTGCGGGTTCGAGACCCGCCTGGGCAACTTGGCGAGACCTCATCTCTACAATAAATCAAAATGAGCCGGGTGTGGTAGGAGCGCCTGTAGTTCCAGTTACTTGGAAGGCTGAGGCGGAAGGATCGCCAGAGCCCAGCAGGTCGAGGCCGCTCTTGGCCACCGCACTTCAGTCTGGGCGACAGAGTGAGACTCCAAAAAAAAAAAAAATAATAAAAATAAAATAAAATAAATTAGAATTGTAAAACTTGTACCCACCACCATGAGCTTGGCAGTTTCCAAATACTTTTTTTAAGGACTTTTCTGATGAAATTAATGACAATATTTACAAATGTCAGCCAGGCATGGTGGCTCACATCTGCAATCCTAGTCCTTTGGGTGGCCAAGGCAAGAGGACTCCCTGAGCCCAGAAGTTCGAGACCAGCTTGGACAACTTGGCAATACTTTGTTTCTACAATAAATCAAAAAATTAGCCAGGTGTGGTGGTGCATCCCTGTGGTTCCAGTTATTTGGGAGGCTGAGGCAGAAGTATCACCAGAGCTCAGCAGATCCAGGCTGCGGTGGCCATGAATGTGCCACTGCACTCCAGCCTGTGCGACAGTGACACTTTTACTCAAAAACAAACAAACAAACAAAAAAACCCAAAAAACAAAAACAAGTATTACCTTTTGGTAGAACAAAATGGGAAAACATTTGGAAAATCTGCAAAAATTCAGAGAGCCTATTTTCCAAATGACCAGAGCATGATGTTACAGAAACACACATTGACAAAATATCCATCCAAAGTACTGGATGGGCTGATTTTTTTTTTTTTTTTTTTTAGAGATGTGGGGTACATGGCTCAGCCTGTAATCCCGCGCCTTTGGGAGGCTGAGGTGAGTGGATTGCCTGAGCCCGCGGGTTCTAGACTCACCTGGACAGCGAGACCACATCTCTACAATAAATAAAAAAATCCGCCGGGCGTGGTAGCGTGCGCCTGCAGTTCCGGCTACTTGGAAGGCTGAGGCGGAAGGATCGCCAGAGCCCAACAGGTCGAGGCTGCGGTGGCCGGAAGCGGCCACTGCACTCCAGTCTGGGCGACAGAGTGAGACTTCAACTCAAAAAAAAAAAAAAAAAAAAAAAGATGTGGGTACAATTCAGGGCTAGGTGTACAAATGGTCATTGAACAGGTAAAGTTTGGGCCTCACTTTGGTCCAAATCAATGGATTTTAATGTTAATGAGTATAAAGACTTCATTAATATGGCCTCATATTCCATATTGCAAAGAATGTCTCTAGAAAGCCTACTAAAACTCTCCCTTTTCCACCTATATTATCTGTGTGAGGCTGCATTTTGTTCATACATTTCACCCAAAACACATATTGCAACAGATTGAACACAGAAGCATCTATGAGAAGCCAGCTTTATTCTATTAAGCCAGACAAAAAGAAGTTTGCAAAAATGAAAACAAGATCATTCTAATTTTGTTTTGGAAAATACAGTTTTCATTAAAAATTGTTACCTATGTTAATGTGATAGCTTTAATATTGTTATTCTTTTTTTTTTTGAGTCTCACTCTGTTGCCCAGGTTGGAGTGCAGTAGCATGCTCACAGCCACTGCAGCCTCAACCTGTTGTGCTCAGGTGATCCTTCTGCCTCAACCTTCCAAGTAGCTAGAACTACATACATGTGCTACCTTGCCCCACATTTTTTTTTTAATTGTAGAGACGAGGTCTCACCAAGTTGCCCAGGCTGGTCTCAAATCCCTGTGCTTAGGCAATTCTCTTGCCTCGGCCTCCCAAAGTGCTGGGATTACAGGCTTGAGCCAATCGTGCCCGGCCTCAATATTGTTATTCTTAAATGAATTAGCGGCTAAATATTTTTAAACTTTCTCAGCTTTAATATTTAATTGGGATCAAGGCAGGAGTACTGTTTGAGCCCAGGAGTTTGAGACCGGCCTGGGCAATACAGCAAGAGCCCCATCTCTACAAAGAGCAAAAAAAATTAGCCAGGCATGGTGACCACACCTGTAGCCTCAGTACTCAGGAGGTTGAGGCAGAAGGATTACCTGAGCCAGGAGGTCAAGACTGCGGTAAGCCATGATTGTGCTACTACCCTCCAGCCTGGGCAACAGAAACTCCAACTCCAAAGCGAAAGTTAATGTGGTAAACATCAATAATTATAACCAATATAAACAAAAGTTCCTTGAGGTGCTCAATAATTCTTAGGACCATAAAAGGGTCCTGAAGTCAAATGCTTTGAGAGCTGCCAACATAAAGCCTCTCGTGGGACCCATCACGCAGTGGGTGTGCAACGCAATGGGCAATGGGCAAGAGTGGTGAAGAGTCATGATATTGATGGCTTATCTGGACAGATCTTTGGGGACATGACTCAATTTTCCACTTCGGCATTTCAGTGCACAATTTTGGAATAATTCTGTCTATCAGACCAGGCAGCTGTCAAGGGCTGTTATGAAGCTAAACCAGATTGCCAACTGTTTTCATTTCTCCTCTGGACTCCTAGTCTCAGTAGTTCTAGAAGGCATGTTTGTATAGACTTCCCCAAGACACATGCTACATCTAACCAGCTGCTCTGCAACAGGTTCCAAATTCTATTCTGACAGGGCCCATTAAAGCACTCTGCTGTCAAGGTACCCAACTCCAAGAGCCACCCTGTCACCAAGGCAGCCAGAGGGTAACAACAGCAGCTAAAATTGCCTTTCAGAAGCAGAGAAAATGATTACTCCCCAGCCTAGAAAACTCATCAGCCCAGTTACCATCACTCACTCTGTCATTCACTCATTCATTTCCTCCTTCAACCAACATTCACAGGGCCCCTACCTCCTGCCAATCATTGTGCTGAGTGCTGGGAAGCATCTACTTCTTGGCAAATTTCTACCCATCTCCTAAGATTCTGGTCAAAGGTCGGTGAAGTTTTTGCTAGCTCAGGGTAAGCAGAATCAATTACTTTAGTATAGCACCTATCACACTATGCCACAGATATATTTATTCTGTCTGTCCCCAAGACCCTGGTAGAATGTGAGCTCTCGGGGGCAGGTGGTAGATCCTGGTCATTTAAATATGCCCAGGAACCTAGACTTGGCTTGGGCATGACATGCAGCAGGCATTCATTTAATAAATGGATGAATGCTTAAAGCCCATCTGGTTCATGTCTCAGATCCTTGGCACAAAAGCAAAATTTATAACACAGTCAAGAGCCAGCACTTTGAGAGGCTGAGGCAGGTAGATTGCTTGAGGTCAGGAGTTCAAGACCAGTCTGGGCAATATAGTGAGACCTTGTTTCTAAAATAGAAAATAAGATGGGCATGGTGGCTCACATCTGTAATCCTAGCACTTTGGGAGGTTGAGGTGAGGAGCTTGCCTGACTCCAGGAGTTCGAGACCAGTTTGCGCAACTTGGTGAGGCCTCATCTCTATAAAAAAGAAAAAAAAAAGCCGGGCTCGGTGGCTCAGTCTATAATCCCAGCACTTTGGGAGGCTGAGGTGAGAGGAT